AAAAAAAAAACATTTAAAAGAGAAAGAAAGAAATTGTACAAAAGACCCTCCTTATCTGTGCTGGATATATTCCAAGATCCACAGTGGATACCTGAAACCAGGGAGAACATCGAAGCCTCTACTTTCCCCCCATACACTCACATCTTTTAATTTGTAAACTATTTCATTTTACTGGAATCCACAATTAACATCTATGGTAACAGCAGCCAAGAAATCAAAAGACATGTTACAGTGGACATTGTTAAGAACATCTCCAAAGTACTAACGAGCAAGGATGTCTGTTTAAAGACCAAGGTGAGTCTGATTCAAGCCTTACTTTCAGTTATTTCCTATGCATCTGAAAGTTGGACAATATATAAGGATGACAGAAGAGGAATTTATGTCTGTGAATCGTGATGTTGGTGAAGAGAAGTGAATATCCCATGAACTGCCAAAAGAACAAATAAATCTGTCTTTGGAAGTTCAACCAGGGTGTTCCTTAGAGGCAAAGATGGCGAAACTCTGTCTCATATACTTTGGGCATGTTGTCAGGAGGCACCAGTCCTCTGAAAAAGTCCTCCATCATGGGAAAGAGAAAGAGAGGACATTGTGGGTGGGCTTGAGCATGGCAGAAATCATGAGAATGGTACAGGATAGAACAAGGTTTCAATCAAGGTACATAAAGTCACTATGAGTCAGAGTCAACTCAGTGATGCCTAACACCAATAATAAGCACCTATGATAAAAGCATGCTTTATAAATTAGGCACAATAATAGATTAACCACTAATAATAATAATAACAATAACAATAATAAAACAGCTATTTAGTAAAGTTACTTGAACACAAGCACTGCAATACTAAGACAATTGATCTGATATCTGAAGTGACTACCAATTGATAAAATGGGTTGTTGTTGTTGTTGTGTACCAACTGAGTCAGAACCGACCCATAGCTGACCCTCCAGTGGATTTTCAGAGGCAATAAATTGCATGGGAGGAGACTGCTCATATTTCTCCCCCAAAGCAGTTGGTGGATTTGAACCATGTGCCTTTGGGTTTGCAGGGCAGGTAGCATATATACAAAATGGCTCTGGAGGGCAAAGGTCTGACTCATATCCTAAGTGGCCCTGAGTGAGATGGCAGGGCATTTCCTTGTACTACACAGAAAGACAGACTGTTTAAAATTTAAGAATTTCTGGCTTTTAATGTCTTCTGTTTGATATTTTCAGACTGCACTTGATTGCGAGTAACTGAACTCACAGAAAGCGAAACCACAGAAAACAGGGTGTGGGGAAGGAACGCTATATACATTTCAGGTAAAAGCTTCCTTAGTCACTGCGGTCTGAGTGGCAAATGATTGTTCAGCAAACAACTGCCTGTGAGTGACAGGGCAGGAATGTATGCTTGGGAAGGACAAAAAAGCATCTATTAGCTGGACTCCACTGTGTGCTGGGCCAAAAGGCCTCTCTTGACACTCTGTCCTGTACTTTCTTTACAACCTTTGTACAAATACTCCCATCTGCTCTGGAGGCCTAGTGGGTAAGGAGTTGCACAGCCAACCCAAAGGCAGGTGGTTCGAATCCACCAGCTGCTCCAAGGGAGAAAGATGAGCAATCTCCTCCTGTGCCATTTATAGCCTCAATAACCCACTGGAAAATCAACTATGAGATGGTACCGACCCTACGGCGATGAGTTGTTTAGTTGAGTTTAATGATTTTTTTGAAAAATATCTACTGAAAGCTGCGGATCTTTTCCTATCAAAATACACACACATACACACACACACACACACACACACACACACACACACACACATGACTATTACACAGAATTTCATGGAATTCATCTTAGAACCCCCACATAGAATCTTCTCAAGGGCCCACAGACCTCAAGTTTAAAACTTCTAGTCCAGAGAGGGAAATAGTTAACATTTATTGAGTCTTTACTTCATGACAGGGATTATTCTGAGTGTTTCGAAACGATTTTTCTTGGTCACCATTACAAATCTATAGAAATACTACTGTTCTCTATTTTCCTTAAGAGAAAACAACAATGGCAGAGACTATAAATTACTCCAGGTCAAATAGTTTGTATGTGGCAGAGCCATGATTGAAATCTAGGCTGTCCTTTTAGCAGTCAAGTAACAGCTGTGAACTAAAACAAAATCAAATGTCCATGGGTACACCATGATACAGCTAGTTCAATTCCAAACCACTGCAATTAAGCAAAGATACTGTAAGAGGTCATGCAAATTTTTTTGTTTTCCAGTGCATATAATAGTTATGTTCACATCTCACTGTTGTCTACTAAGACTGCAACAGCTTAATTTTTAAAAGTTTGAAATATTGTGATGACCAAAATGTGACACAGAGATGGGAAGTGGGCACATGCTGTAGGAAGAACAGTATGGATGGACTTGTTAAATTGCAGGGATGACATAAAGCTTCAATTTGTAAAAATAACTGCCACCAAAAACCATGCAATATCTGAAAAGCATAAGGAAATTAAGTATTCCTGGAAATGTTTTTAAAAGTTTCCATGATTACACAGTTTATGATCATTGCAGCTTTCTTTTGCGGGGATGGAAAAATCCTTTACTTCTCTAGAGAGTAAAGGAACTCTGGTGGCCTTGTGGGTAAAGAGTTGCCCTGCCAACCCAAAAGCACTTGGTTCAAATCTAGCAGGCCTTGTGTGAGAGAAAGGTGGGAATTTTTTTTCCAGTGCAGTTTACAGCCTCTGAAACTCCCCCTGGAGGGTCAGCTATGAGTCAGTTCTGACATGACAGCACATAACAACAAGAAGAGAGTTAAGATAGCCAAAACAATATGACTCTGGGCAGAATAGAGATGTGTGGCTAAGTAGATCATACTATTAACACAGAACAAAAGCGACTCAGACTCTACTTAGCTTCCAATAATAGGCTTATGGCACTAGTATCAGCCCTTGGGTTCTTAATCCACTAGAGTAGTTGAGATTAGCTCCAGGGTCACAAACTTAAAATGCCTACAGGAACCAGAGAAGCAATGCAAATATGGGACACAGGCTAATATGGGGTGGTAGGAGGTGATGGGGCCATGGCTGATGGAGAGCACATGCCCTGCCTCAAGCCATCTCCATACAACTCGAGAGACCCCTAAGAGACCAACAAAGGACATATTCAGCCAGTGAGCCCTCAGCTTGCAACTTCCTAAGTCATTTTAAGGCAGGAAGCAGGAAGGCAACCTGGAAGCATAGGACTACAGCCTCGCTCACGTGACAATAAATCAACACTGTGATTCCCTGTTGCATTAGGGAACCATACTTTCCCATGCGAACCATTGAGCAAGTTGGTCACCGGCAGAAAAGCCTCAGCATCATTGGAGAGGAGGAAGTATCAGGCAGTAAGTGACAGCACACAGCACGTACCTTATACACAGTGAGCATTCGAGGTCAGATGCATCAAAAGATGGGAATGGATTACTGGGGGCAGGTTTGGACTCCTGATCAGTGGGAGAATCTGCAATTTAGAAAGCAGAAGTCAGAGCTGGAGCAACCTTGGTTTCACAGACCCAAGTTCTTTTTCTTCCCAGTTTTTGGCACTCTGGTAACCTCTCAGGTGATGCTTTGGCCACCTGAGTCACTGAGAAGGGCATACCGTAAGTAGGCATTTACATGCTACTAGCAGACTGGGACACCCCCCACCCCACATGAGAGAGAGATGCAAGCCAGGAAATGGCCCCTGAGACATCATTCAACCAAGTGGCAGCGTCAGCGACTCCATGGATTGGAGCCTGGCCTTCCACCCAGAGTCTGAACCTTGGACCCTCCCAACCTCCCTTGAAAAAGCAGCAATTTGCCATTGCTGCCTCTCAGGTGCTTACTACAGGGGAGCACAGCTGGGAGGAGTAGGGTAGGGCCTGCCCACACTTCCCTGGGCCTGCATTTCTGGGTGGAGGGAGGAGGCAGGTTGGCCTGGAAAGAAGTGGCACTATCAAAGGCACATGGGCAGTAATTACCTGATACCATGCTTTACACTGTCTGCCTTGACCTTATGCTATCATTATTGACCACTTTCGGTGTGCGAGGTCCCCCTACACATTATCACAGAAAGCTCTGGCAACCTTTTGAGGTGGCTAACTGATGACTGCCAGAGCCAAGTCACAAGCCTAGAGCCTGAAGAGACCCGCATGTGGATAATAAGTAATTTGCATAGTCTGGTGCATATCAGCCTCTCCCTCCCACTCCTGTCTCCCTAGGGTAGGGTTAGTACCTTGCTTTGAGGCTTTACTCGGCACCTCCGAGCCTTGGGATTCAATTTGGCAATGTTTCCTTTTTGTCTTCAGGCACAATTCCATCTGGACAGAAAAAGACTCTGGAGAAGCATCCTCCTCGTCATCGTCCTCCTCCTCCTCTCTGTCTTCCATGTTTTGCTGGCCATCCACTTCCACTTCTGCTGGCCCCATGGCTGCTTCCTGCTGACTAGAACAATGAGGGAGCGCCTGGTAGTCCTGGAGAAAGGGAGAGCCAAACATCAGGATCTGCTTAGTAGCAAGCCTGTTCTGTGATATCCCTACCCGCAGGGGACAAGTGGGGACTGCGTATCCCTGATCCCCACCTGCTGCAAATATGGATCTGGACAGCTAGCGGGCGCTTCGCTAAACCAGGCATACCTCCCATTCCCTGTCCACTGTCCTAACAGCCTCTTCACCAAATGTGAGCCCAGTGTGAGCGGAGGTGGACGCAGAGAACTTGTCTAGGTGCAGATATAAAGGTGTGAGCAAGAGGTGGGGGGGTGTCTTTGGGGAGTGGTGAATGGGAGAAATGTAAAGTGGGCATCAGTCATCACTTGTAGCCATACAGCTCGCCAGTCCTCATTTTCATGAAACCAGGGCACGTGCTGAGGGTAGAACCTGTCACTCACTCCTTCCTCCCACCCTCTCGCTCCAGGCCACCTGCAATTTCCAATTCCCAGCTCCAGAAGGGTTTGCGGTGGTATCCCTGTCATAGGTTTGTTCCTAGGCCTATGAAGATCTGCCAGGCTCCAAAGCTGCACGTTCTACTGGCCTAAAGAACCAGGGACAAGCAAATTGCTTTTTCTCAGTTTTAGGTGAAAAGGGCTGTGAGAGTAAACCGTGTGGCAAAGCAACCAATAATGTTTCTAGCCTCTTACAAAGAGATTTTTTGCCTAAGAAAGTGGCACTTTAAAATGAATCTGGAGAAGAACTCCAAAGAGGATATATTTGTGCAGATTGTTTCACCTGGTGAAAACCCTTGCCAATCAAAATCCACAGAGTGCAGGGCAAAAAAATATTCATGTTGTTGTTTCCTCCTCAACCTTTATTTAAAACAAAACAAACCCAAAATCTCAAGCCTGCTGTATAAGTGAGCAGAGGCCCGATGGCAGAGCAGGTTAAGTGTTGGGCTACTACCTACACAGGTCAGCAGTTCGAACCCACTGCCACAGGGGTGTGGATGGAGGGGTGGGGATAGAAATGAGGCCTCCTTCCATTGAGATTTACAGCCTCCGAAACCCAGATGGAGAGTCAGCCTGAGTTGGAAGTGCCTTGACAGCAGTAGGTTAGATGGGTGGAAATGGGGAGCGCAGAGCTGAGAGAAAAAGGATGTGGATTTTCTCCATCTCTAGCCTGAGGTGTTAAGGGTTTGGGGTTTCCCAGCTCCCCAGCATTATAGCAATATTAGATATCCTGTACACAATAGATAAAGTGTTTGGTTAATCAGCAAAAGGACAGTTGTTCGAACCCCTTCCAGTGACTCTGCAGCAAGAAGACCTGCTCTCAAAGATGATTGCTCTTGTGTATCGTAGCGTCGGAACCGACACATAGCTGACCCTCCAGTGGGTTTTCAGAGGCAATTAATCGCAAGGGAGAGACTGCCCATCCTTCTCCCACGGAGCAGCTGGTGGCCTCAAACCGCATGCCTTCAGGATTGCAGTGCAGCCTCTTGCCACTAGGCCACCAGAGCTCCAGCCAAGAAAACCCTATACGGCAGTTCTACTCTGTCATATGGGACCATGGAGTTAGAATTACTTGATGGCATCTAACAACAGCCATCCTGTTTCTTCAACTTTCCCTGAGCCCAAGGAATTGTCCACAAAGGAGCACCATGCTTTGCAGAGCAAACTTTGGATGGGAAGTCCCATCCCTGTTCCCCAGGCAACCCATATTGGAATGTTTTAAAAAGGGGAGGAGAAAGAAAACCCCCAAACCCATTGCCACGAGGCTGATACTGACTGGGAATCTATATGGATACAAGCTGGGCCCTCTGGGACTTTCAGAGGCAGACATTTTAGGAAGTATAGCACCAGGTCTACACAAGGCACCCCTGAGTGGATTCTAGCCTGCAACCTCTGGGGTGGCGGCCAAGCAGGTTAACCACCTAGGAGGCCTATGAAATGCCAGGGGCACTATTTTATATATCTAGTCTATCTATACATCTATATCTATATCATATATCATATATTTCTATTTCTATTTATATTTATTTCTATGTATTTATATATATTTCTATTTTTAATATATTTGCATTTCTGTTTGAGCTGCAATTAGAAGTCACTCCAGGCACTTTCGTTCAGCCTTAGAGTCCCCAGTCATGTAATCAGGATCTCAAACAATTACTGAAATGCACCAGGGGGTTCTCCGATTTCAGGAGATCCTTCATGTTTCGTTTTGTTGTATGTTGGACACGCCCACATTTTATTCCTTCTCTGGAACACAGAGAGAAACTGGGGAAATTTAAGATTTCAAACCTCTTGGAACAGCCAAGAAACCCCTGGGACTCCAGGGACAAATGGAGGGGAAATGGTACCCTGGAGGTACGGCTCACTAAGCTCTGCCCTGGTCTCTGCGCAGGGATCCTCTGCTTGGGGAGCCAAGATCTCCAGCCCCTTCTCTGTGGTTCCCTTGTTTGAAAGAAAGGCATAAAGTAAGTGCACCTTTCTTTCTCCTCAAGAACTTCAACACCCCTCTCAAATCTCTTCTCTGCTCCAAATACATATTGGAAACCTGAGGCTGTCTATCTACTATCAAGTCAGCTCCAACACACACTGGCCTGATGCACAATGGACCGAGACACTACCCAACCTCACGCAGAAGTTCGCAAATCACCTCTGCTTGGGAATCAAGTTGAGTGGTCTGTGAGCAAGGATCTCAGCTGAAGCTGACAGGCCAGCAGCTTGAGCAAATGGGAAACAGGCGAGGAAGGATTAGCATGCCCTCTTACCCAGGCTCATCCCCTAAGTTAAAAAGCCACCCCAGTTAGACATGGCTTAAGGGGAAGTGGGCCAAGACCTTTCTAGTTCTGGCAAGTCTATTTCCTTGCGGAATCTAATAAAGAATTAAAAAATAAAATTAATAAGCCAACCAACCCTGGAAGTCCATTTTAGCTTTATGTCAGACTCTGAGCAGAGACTACCACCAACTAGTGACTCTGTCTCTTCATTATCTCCAGGAAGCTGGAGAAGGTAGAACTAGGGGCTCACTCCCCACATTTGCTTTCCCCCCCACCCCCACACAAAGCGCCACAAGGGAGCTGAGTGAATTGAGTTTTACCTGTAACAACTTGGGTAGATTATGGCAGGTGCCTTCAGTAGTCAATGACTCTATGTGTTCCTTTAATCTAGGGTTTGATGCCAAGAACTTCAGGATATCAGGAATGTGTTCCTGAGAATTCCCCGTGACTGGTGGTGAAAAGAAACTAAGGAGAAGCTGTGACATAAAACAGAAGACTTCACTACTTCAGTTTCTGCACAGGGGTTCAGGAGCAGGGGGGAGGGGAAGGAAAGGGCAGGAGACAGACAGAGGGCAAAACTCCAGGGAAGACCAAAACCCCCCCTCCCCAAACACAGGAGCCAAAGGTTCTGTTGCTCCAGCATGTATCACACTCACCTGTGGAGGCTCTAGTTCCCACTTCCATCCCCCCTGGGGCCCAGGAATTGAGATTTTTTTCCAAAGAGCACTGGACACGCCTTTGTTACCAAGCCAGAGTTAAGAACCACCACTCTGGTGCTAGAAATACTCATTGGGGAGCTTTTTAAACTCTCTCAGGAGGAAAGAGACAGAGAAGAAATCCAGAAACATCGGTTGGAGAATGTGGAGTCACATCCATATCGCTGGATGCCTCCTAGGTTCCTTGATGTTCCCTGCCTACCCTGTCACCACTGGATGATAAATGCCATCAGATGAGGGGCTTACACAGTCAAGTGTTAGAAACAGAGCCCACACTTCCTCCCTCTTCTCCCACTTTCCTCCCCATTTCTGGCCTTCACTTTGTACAGAAATGTCAAGTTAAGTCCAAGCACCATAGCAGGGTGCAGGCAGGTAAGGCTCAAGCTGCCGCTGGCCCAGGCTTGCAATTGGATCAGCCGAGGTCAAGTAAGAAAGGGCTGGGAGTCAAAAGTCATGTTTCCTAGTGCACACTGTGCCTTTAACTTTCCATTTTCTTGCTACAAATCTATCTGTACCAGTCAGTATCCCAAATAGGTAGCAACATATCACCCAGGAGGACAGGTCATTTGGCTTCTAAAACTCACCCTTGTGCTTACCACCCCCTGTAGAAACTCACTAAAGGAGGACCTGCACCATGGCTCAGTGTAGTCAGGAAATTTAACAAGACACCAAACTCAATCTAGTTCAAGTTATCCCCTTGTTATCCCAGGAGTAGATCCCTTCACGAGGTTCCACAGGATTCCAGCACCTGCCAGGGAAGTCAAACCCAGCTCGGCCTGCAAAGGTCAGCTCCAACACTGCCTTCCTTTACTGCTCATGTCTGTATGACCTATCCCTTCCAGTTCATTCACATAACTGTTTATGCCAGCTAGTCTTATGTTATCTTCAAATAGTGTCACAGATGTAAGAATTCCTCTCCAGCCAGATGGCAGGCTTCTGGACATAACAGATGTCCAGTAAATACTTATCACATTGGATGGGATAGAATTAAGACACATCCCAGGGCCCATTGGGGTGGCGGAAGCACTGGTGGCCTGGTCCATAGAGAAATGTGCTGCTAACCCAAAGGCGGCACTTCTCTGGTGGTTTGAACCCATCAGCCACTTCATGGGAGAAAGACCCACAATCTCCTCCTGGGAAATTTACATTCTATGAAAACCTATGAGGGGGTCACCTACGAGTCGGTTCAGACTCAACGACAATGAGTTTTTGAGGGCCCAGGGAGAGTTCTATCATTCAGATCCAAATCCTCCAGAGAGATTCCTGTTTCCTTTCACTTCTCAGATATAATAAAGTATAAAGTGGCCAGGGAGTGAGATGGAGATGTACTTGCTTGCCCAGGGCCAGAAACTACAGCTTTTCAGAGATTCTCCCTTCCACAGGGAGCTCTGGTGGCCTAGTGGTAAGGAGTTGCCGTGCCAACCCAAAGGCAAGCAGTTCTAATCCACCAGCTGCTCCACAGGAGAAGGATGGGCCTTTCTCCTCCAGTGCAAATCACTGCTTCTGAAAACCGACTGGAGGTTCAGCTATGAGTCGAATGATTCAATGGCACACGAAGTTTCCACAGGGGCCAGATATAACTCTCAGAAGCACTCCTGAGAGACCCCAAAGGAACAACCCACTTATGAGGCAGTCTCTCTGGAATCCTTCCAGAACATGGGATGTCTTTCAGTAAATAGTCACAATGCCATCCCAACGTACAAGGATCAAAGAGAGGAGAGAGTCGACGGAGGGAAGGGAGGCAAGAGGACAAACCCAAGGAAACAAGGCAGAAATAACCATAGAGCTTCTTCCCTTTACTAATATCTTGCTCTAGATTGTCTCACTGGCTTTGGAAAACAAGATGGCCTCAACTCTCAGTAATGAAAGGCAATTCCACCTCCAGGTCAGCCTTTAAAAGGTACCTTAAAAAGGTCAAGCGGAAGGGAAGTTGAGGTCAAAACAAACATAAAACTCGGACCACCTCTGCCAAAGCTTTAAACCTTTAGGCCTCAAACTAGAACAAGCCCATAAATATGCACAGCTGAGGGCATTCAGTGCTCCTAAAATGGCTGCCATGGAACCATCACCCTCACTGGAAATCAGTCTCTAAATTCTCATGCTAACCTCAGAACTCCTAGAAACACTCGCCATGGGCATATGTTCACTTGTATTTCTCTGACATTTGTATTAACAAAAATCTAGATTAACAAATTTAAGTTCCTTGAGGCCTTATGCCTCTTTGCATCTCCAGAGTGGAACACACAGCTTTGCTCCACTCCTTACATAAGCAGTTGTGGAAACGACACCAGCTGGTGTATAAAAGTAGGCTGGGAAGACCATTCAGGCCAACTGGGAAGTGGACACACAGGACTAAAGGAAAGACTCACTGCCTGGACCACACACTTGCCTCAGTTGACTCGTAAACATGATGTCCCCAAAGTCAAGGTTCTTGTAGCTACCTCCCTGTCCACCCCAGAACTGGAAAGTTCCACCACGACTCTCAATTTAGCCCCAACAGTGAGTGCTAAAACCACCGATACGTATTCCTGAGATAGCAGGACAGTGGAAGAGGACACGTTTTAGGAGCAGAAAGGGTGGAGTTTTGTATGTTTGCTCACCAATACCTAGTTCTGACTGGGAAAGTTACCAAACCTCAGCTTCGTCATCTGTTACATGAGGATAAACAACTGTACCTACCCTCACAGGCAGGCACAATGCTGGTGCAATGGATTAAACATTGGCCTGCTAACCAAATCCACCAGCTACTCACCAAGAGAAAATTGAAGTAATCTCTTTCTGCATAGACGTACAGCCATGGAAGAGCAGTTCTACTTTGCATTAGAGGGTGGTTGTGTGTTGGAATCATCTCGGAAGTGGTGTTGTGGTTGTTATACCATTGAGTTTCTTGAAACTCATAGCAACCTTATGTACAACAGCCCTAAACCCTGCCCTATCCCATGCCAACGTCACTGTCCCCAACACACCTACTCCCATTACCCCAGACACTGAATCAACCCATCTCAACGAGGGTCTTCCTCTCTTGCCCTGTTCCTCCACCCTTCCAAGTATGATGTCCCTCTCCAAGGACTGGTCCCTCCTTGAACATGTCCCAAGTATGTCAGATGAAGATTCAGAAGCCTTGCGTCCAAGGAGCAGCCTGGTTTAACCCTCTCCAGGATGAATCTGTTTGTTCTCCTATCAGTCCACACTATATTCAAGACTTTTCTCCAGCATCACAACTCAATTCTCCTATCATCCTTAGTCATTGTCCAGCTTTCTGATGTACAGCAAGTAATTGCAAAGACCATGGTCTGGATCAGGTGTACCTTAGGCTCTAGACTGACATCATTGCTCTTCAGCACTTTGGAGAGCTCCCTGACAACAGATTTTCCCAGTGCAATTTGGAAGTAGTGGATGGTATTATCTCCCACAGAGATGTTGTGAGATTAAATTAGACCTTCCACATAAGGCTCTTTAGCACAGGACCTGGTGCATAGGAACTGTTTGGTAAATGTTAGCTGCGATTGCTAACGATGCCATGAACTTTCCACCTAAGAGTTGGGAAAGCCTGCAGCAATTCTCCCCCTACCTGTGTTCCGCTTGATAACACCATGTCCACATACCCAAACCAGGTCCGGGACAGGGCTTCAAACTGATTTGTTCTGGTTTGACTCCCTGCTGAGAACATGCATTTCTACCTGGGCTACATGGAATGAATGAGAACTGGGATTTTAAGGAGCTCTCCAGGTGATTCTTAGAGCTCTCCAGGGTTGTTTATGTCTATCCAAGAACTGCCTGGATCTTGGGCTCTACCTTAGGGAGCTTCCTAGTGGGCAGGGTGGGGACTCATGCTGCCAACCCAAAGGCGGCAATCTCTCTAGTGGTTCAAATCCACTTGCAGCTCCCCAGAAGAAAGATGGGTAATCTTCTCTCATGTGATTGAACAGCCTCCAGAAAACCTGCTAGAGGGTCAGCACGAAGTCGGTTCTGACCTGACAGCAATGAAGCTAGCTTGTTTTCAAAACCACTTGAGGATCCTGTTAAAGCTAGATTCTCTGGGGCGGGGAAGCTAAGCACATTCTCAAGGAGGGGTTGAGCCAGAATGAACCAGCTGGAAATCCTAGTCCAAGCAACCTGCCCTGGAATCCTCTGGGGAAAGCAGGTGATTCAGAGCCCAGCTCTCCAGACTCCTTTCTGTAGCCTTCCAGCCTCCCAGGAGCCAGTGATGTCTCTCACTTAGTTTCTTTACTGACTGCACTGCCAACCACACACGGGGACAGAAACACTTGAGAGGTGGTGGTGAAGTCAGGGTGTGGGGTGAGCACAAAGAGAACAGGACTGATTGTCTTTCCAGGGTCCAACTTCCAGGCCAGTTAGCCAGATACCAGGGCAGTAAATTGCAAAACAATAAACAACAAATGCCATGAATTAAGGGTGCTTTAGTCTTCCCTAATGCTCTCAGTATTTCGAGAAATTTCTTATAACCACCACATTCCACTGAGACCAACAGTTGGAATGACTAGATTATTCTGTAATGATCTCTGGCTGGCATTTGTTAGAGGGTGCATGTATTCTTCTTTCTAGCAAAGGAGCTGGAGGCTGGAATTCTGCACATGGCAGGGGCAATAGGGACCAAGGTCTTTTCCTATGAGCTGGCTTCCCTGTTTGGCTGATGAAGTTGTGACTCAGCCAAAAAAAAAAAATTGTTATACAACGGCAAGCAGCCCCACACCCCAGCTCTCTCAACAGTCAGAATTTCCTCAGCCAAACCTGTAACCCTCGTGTTCACTTGTTAGGTTTAGTTTGCTTTGAAATCCTACTAGTGACCCAAACCCCAAATCAAAGACGGCAGAACATTCCTCACAGGCGCCTTATAAGAAAAAAAAAATTCGATAAGTGCCCAATCTGATTATACATGCCAGGAGGAGGGTGTTTCTGGGCAACCAACTGGCACTCCTGTCTCTCCTGTCCTGTTAGGCCAGGAAGTCACCCAAGTGCGTGTGAGGCAGCATTCACACTCCCTCCCTGGAGAAGACCAAGATGTGGAAACCCATTAGGCAGGTGCACCTTGAGGTCATTTCCACTCACCTTCTGGGCTTCAAGTTTTGCTTTCTTGTTATTTCCATCGAGAGAGATACAACACAGAAACTCCTTTAGTGCTTCTTCCATCTTGCCAAGGGTGGCTAAGGCTTGGGCTTTCCGGAAGTGTGGCTGAAAGAAAATATTAGCATTCAATCCCATCTTTCTGTATCTTATTAATGCTACTACTATTCACAATAATAGCGAAAGACTGAATGAGCATTCTCTGTTGTGAGCTTTTGGTGGCCTAGTGGGTAACCCAACCCAAAAGCAGATGGTTCAAATCCACCTGCTTCTTCTTGGGAGAAAGATGGGTAATCCCTTGCTTGAGTTATTTACAGCCTCTGAAAACCCCCTGGAGGGTCAGCCATGAGTAGGTTCTGCCTCGACAGAGCATAACAACAAGGGAAGCAACTGTGTGCTGAATTCCACTTTAAAGATTCCTAAACTGAAACACGGAAAGCAACTTGTCTCAATAACACTGAAAAATTGGGGAATCAGGATTTGAGCCTGGGACTGATCAAGATTAAAACTTATATTCTTGGTTGCAGCGCTGATTACCAATTCCAATCCTTTTTGGTTGAGTGTATCACCAAATGCAGCAAGAATCCCCATTCGATAACAAGCTAACCAGCTTCCAGACTCTGCACAGCCATACCTTCCTCTTTAAACAGAGACCTAGGCCATAGTCGTTGTTGTTGTTTTTAAGTGCCGTAGAGTCATAGGTGACTCATAGTGACCCTATGAACGAAAGTCCTCAACACTTGTGTGACTTTCATCCTTTCTCCAGGTTCATAGGGTTTCCGGAGGCAAGCTATTACGGAAGTGGATGCCACTCCTGCTTCCAAGCTTCTTTTCATCAGGGAGCTCCACCAAACACTGTCCACCATGGATAACCATTAAGGCATCTGACACATCAGTGTCACAGTGTTCAGCTTCATAGCAACCACAAGTTACCTCTGTACGGCAAGTGGACACACCAGGCCTATACGACCTAGAAGAATGTTTGACCAAAAACAATTAAAAACAGGCTTGAGGGCCGCGGATTAAAGTCACCCACCTTTGGCTTGGTAGGCCGCAGTAATGGTTTAAATAACCACCTATGTTTACTGATCCCTTTTGCACAAACTGGGGTTTATTATCTATGATTTTTATCGTGATTTGAGTAAAAGTTAACTAAGCATACCATTTCTTAACCAATAAATCATGTATATTTTGTTCCATAACATGACTTAATAATACCCACAATGACTGATCATATCCATTCATGCCATATGGTTTCTCTTTACCCATCTTAATAAGTATTTATTAATTCATTTTCTACTCTCCTCTCCCTTCCCCTCCATAATAACTATTCTGGAATGATTCTTTTTCCCTCCGTGTGCAAACCTTTCTTTAGCTTTTTTTAAAATAGTAGGTTTATACAGTCTTTGTCACTTTATGACTGGCTGACTTCACTCTTCAGAATCCCATTTTTGGGAGCTTTAGGCATAGTCTACGGCAAGTTGCATGGCTAACCCAAAAGCAGCACTTCTCTGGCTGTCTGAACCCAATCTCTCCAAAAACCCGCTGGAGGGTCCGCTATGAGTTGGTTCTTATTTAACAGCATGGAGTTGGGGTTTCAGTAATTTTAGAAGAGTCTCTTAAAAAACAAACAACAACAAAGATAGCTCCTCTTCAAGGCCTCAAAGATACTGGCAAAGTAGGAACTAGAACTGAAGTTTTAGGACTCCCAGAATGCTTCCCTCTTCAAACAGAGTGCTCTCTAAAAGGTTGACCAGAGTTTGAGCAAATAAATGCTTTCACTCCTGGAGGCTCAGCTTGCGCTTACTAGACAGCCTTCAAAGGTAGAAAGAAGTACCAGAGGTCCTCAGAATCCAAGCCTAACTCACTTGGAAATTCTGGGGATAGTATAGGAGCATCCTGGGAAAGATAGCTGCCCCCTCCTTGCACTTTGGAAACCATGTAATTTACAACTAATTTTAAAAAGTATCTATCTAGTTTGCCCTTAAATGGCTTGCTCCCAATTCCTTGCCTCTGTGGCAGATCCTAGACCAAAGTTAGTGGATGAAATAGATCAGCTTGCCCTGCTGAACCTTGTTACATGCCTCTGCGGGCCCCAGCACCCTCCAGCTAGCCCAGAACGACTAAGGAACCTCTCCCCTTGCCCTTCAGGCATTTTTAGGAACCTAAGTTTTCTGGTTTACACACTAACGCTAATGGCTTCTTTTGTTCTAGCAATGCCTCCCAAGGGCATTTTGGAGGCAAGAAGCCTTGGCAGCACAGTGGATTAAGCACTCTGCTATTAAACAGAAGATGACCTGTTCAATCTCACCAGCTACTCCATGGGAGAAAGATACGGCAGTCTGCTTCCATAAAGATGTAGAGCTGTGGAAATCTTTTGGGGCAATTGTACTCTGCCCTACAAGTGTTGGAATCGACTAGATGGTGTTTGGGGTTCTGAAGATGAGGCCTGAATGGAATTTCTGGATGGCTGGAATAGGTAAGTTATGGGAGCCTGAGATGCATCTGGGACCCTACTAATTGGACCAAGTAGCAGCAGTTCATAAACCCCAACTGTCAGGGTTGCCAGCTCACCCCAACTGAGAGCTGGATGGAAGTGTAAGGTATGCAGAGAAGCTGCTAAACTCTGGTTCAATAAAATCTCGAACTCATTGCCATCGAGGCTGTAAATTGTACAGGAGAAGGTCACCCATCTTTCTCCCACAGAGCAGCTGGTGGCTTCGAACTGCCTACTTTTGAGTTGGCAGTGCAACTCCCCACCCATTTAGGCCACCAGAGTCCCTTTGCTGGCTGACTTGAAATAAGACTGTGAGGTAAATGCTTTCTACAGGCACATTCTATATATAGGAAATATGCAAAGCAAGGGGCGAGGTTGTTTTTAATTACATGCAACAACTACACCTTCTCTCAACCTCGAGGAACAGAGTGCTCTGACCACTGGCTCCTCCTTACTATGCAGAAATGGTACTACCGGTTAATACTTCTACTGACCCTTCCATCACTAGGAAAGTCACTTTAGCCATGTCACTAAAAAAATAGCCCACTGGTTTCCAGCTCTGCTTCCCATCCCATGGGTCCCTCGCCTGTAGGCAGTGGACAGAATCAGAAGTTGCCAGAGTAGTCTTCCTTCCCCTTACCTTGAGTCAACTCTCTAAATTGCACTATTCCAAGGCCTGAAATACATCAAGTGAAGCTCCTTTGGGTTAAGGCACTGGTGATATTTAGTGCACTGTTCTTTGGAAAGAGAACTCATTTCTTTTAAAAAAAAAATTAAATCATTATTATTTTAATGTGTGTACCGTCAAATTGGATCTGACTGGTAGAGGAGGCGATTGTTCCTCCTTCTCAAGCAGAGCATCTGGTGGATTTGAACCGTGCACCTCTGGGATTGCAGTGCAGCTTCTTGCCACTAGGCCACCAGAGCTCACCAAGGAAAAGATAACTCATTTATCCATCCATCATTAGAACCCTCTCGGGAAAGTACATATAGAGTCTCCATGGCACTAATGACAGAATCCACAGGTCTCCAGTGCTTCCTGATCCCAAAATTTTGACAATCTACTCTTTTTTGGAAGCTAGACCAAAAAATTCATTAGATGATGAATCACACTTGAACCTGTGGCAAAGGGCTTTGAGCTCTGCATGACTCTGTATGTAAATAGCTGCCGGAAGATAAGTGTACACTGACCCCTCACTTACGATCTCATTGCCTGTCATGTTGTATTTACAACAAAAATAAATCATCTATCCAACTATTTTGTGCATGACAATCACAAAAGTCAAGGGGAGTGGCGAGAGTAACACAGGCTGTGAGGGTTAAGATTATGTGCCAACTTGGCTGAGCCATGATCCTCAAGGCTTATGGGATGATGGAGTCAGCCTTCATTTCATGGTCTCATGTCATTGCTTTCCATTTTGGAACATAATGCTGATTTCGCCATAACCATCTCGTCTTCATATCCTAACCATGTTATTAAGTGAGGTATGGGTGTGCTTGATTATTGAGTGTTTTCCAGCACTCACTGAATATATGGTCTTTCAAAAATCTGAAACATTCAAGATTCAGAAGTACATCTTGCCCTGTGGGATTCAGACAAGAGATGATGGACCTGCATTTGGATACACTGATTTTCCAAGGAAGACATCCTAGAACTGTGTGCCTGTGGGTTTTTGTTTGTTTGTTTGAATTCACTACCCCAATACTGAGGAAAGGTTATTGCTTGCAGGAAATGCCGTCTTGGCCATGTTCACTTTAACCCTTTCTTTAACCCTGTGAGCTGATCAGAGAAGATATAAACACTCTCATTTTTGCAAGCAAGATATACTTGAAGTTCATAGAGTGAAATGATTTCTCCCCCATCACTGAGCATGCTAGTAGTACAACCCAAACTCAAATCTAATTTCTTAAACAAAATATCGGCATTTGGCTAAGGGTCAGTTCTGACCCAGGTAGAGATACTTATAGGGATACTTTGCATCCTGGCTTCCCCAGGAGAGGCTTAGCCTTTCCCCAGCTCAGTTTGTACTCCAGTGTGTGACCCCAGCCCCTTCCCACACTCACCTTAAAGCCTGATGGGCAGAGCTGACATGCTATTTCTGCATCATGAAGTGCTTCCTCGTGACACTCCAAGGTGAAATAAATTTGAGATCGATTGCTATAAAGCAAGTGGTCATTTGGAGCTGTCAAAAGGAGAAAACCTCTCATTAGAGCCCCACCCAGCACACACACATAATAAGTCTTATAAAAAGATGGACCTTAACCAAGTGGCAAATTATCTCAACCCTTTATACTAGAAATCCCCAAGGGGTAGGTTCAATTTTCAGCTACAACACTGCCCCAGTACAGCCAGGTTGCTTCTTAGAGGCAAGGTCAGTAAGGATTTGTCTGACATATTTTGGACATGTGACAGGGCCAATCCTTGGGAATGGACAACTCGCTTGAGAAAAAAAGGACAGTGAAGGAGAGGAAGACTCTCAATGAGATGGATTGACGGAATGGCTTAAAACCAACAGAGGTTGTGAGGATGGCAAAATATTGGTTACAATCTTGGCGACTACAAAACCGAGTCCACTCGATGGCACCTAACAACAATACTGCACTGCTTATCTTCACAGTGGTGTAGCGGTGCAGCCACCGGGAAAAAGATGGGCAATCAGTGCAACTTTACAGCCTCTGAAAACCTGCTGGAGGGTTGATCTGAGTTGCAATCAACCTGATGATGATGAGTTAGAGAATCTCGGGTGTAAATGATAAATGGTACTTTAGAGACTTTGCCATAGAGGAAACCTTGACACCTTGCTCCATGGCTCTGAACAGCTTGCACCTGGCAGCCTCGCTTCTGAGTCAGGTGTCACCAACAAGGAAACAGGCAGGAGGGAGAGCAACAGCCAGATGTGACCCCATCTGCACCACCAGCAAGGTAAGGGTGTGAGGAACGGTAAAATGAGCAGCACCTCTACCTAACAGGTAAGGAGTTGTGCCGGCAATCCCAAGGCAGGGGTTTTGAATTCACCACCTACTCTATGAGAGAAAGATGGACAATCTTCTTCCTTGCAATTTATAGTATCTGAGAACCCACTGGAGGGGCAGTTACGAGTCAGCTCCGATTCAAAAGCAATGAGCCTTCTTCACATCACCAAAGGCCACATGCGGATGAACCTGGATCTGAATCCAGAGAACAGGGCTTGGGAAAAGCAGGGCCCTTGACTTGTGTCATTAGCATTCTGAATCACTGGATGCCAAGACCGGACAGGTCTTTAGAGATCACCTGGCTTAATCCACCTATTTTTTTAATTTTTTTTTTGGAACAGTAGAAATATTTCTTTCGTGGTTGTGATTTTGGAGAGTGCCAGGGGCTTGTTTGGGGGCCAATTCCATCTTCTAAACACATTAGCAAAGGAGCCCGGATGGTGAAAACTGTTAAGTACCGACAAGTTGATAATCTGAACTTCCCAATTCTGTGGGAAAAATACCTGGCAATGTGCTCCAGTGAAACTGACCGCCAGAAAACCCCTAAGCTCTACCTACTCTGCCACAAGGGTTCGCTAAAAATCAGAATCAACTGGATGGCACCCAATGGCAGCAAGACAACACAAAGCTGCTAGCATTTTCTATGCCTTCTCTCCTGCTGCACGCGCGCAGCCCCACAGCAGCTCACAAACTGTCCTGCGTGGGTACAAAGAGAGTGGAGGGGGGTGACGTCCTGCTACTCCCTCAATCACCAATCTCAGTCAGCCTTCCGTTCCTCCCCTATTACCTGTTGCAAGCTGCGGAGGGGATTCTACATGTGGCGACTCAGCTCACCACCACCACCTCCTCCTCCTCCTCTTCTGTAACCCCCTCAAATCCTAGAATCCCTTCTGCCCAAGCCCAAAGCCTCTCCCAGGCAAGAGAGGCTTCACCAGACACCTCGCCTGGAAGGAGGCCAAGCTGGGTGATCCCAGCCCGAGCTCTGTGGTCACTTCCTGGCAGGGAAAGGGGGCCGCACCCTGACCTAAACTCAGCCACCACCTGGAGCCCCGAGCGGCGTGGGGACGCCCCTGCCGCCCTGGAAGCCACCGAGCCATCTTTACTGTCCCCTGGAGCAGCTTGACCAAGTGGAACCGAGGCGCGCCCTCAATTGGAGCCACCTCAGATCCCCAGGGCAGAGGTGGGGGGATATCACCGAGTGTTTGCACGGGCCTGTCGCCCCCCACTGGACCTGCAGAGCAGGGGTGCAAACCCACAGGGCTACTGGAGGTGCATCTACTTTAGCTACGGATCGTATGGCGGGGAAGCGGTGCCAATGAGTCACACACAGGGCAGCGAGGCACGAACACTCGGTCGTCCCCGTCACCCCTCCGCCCCCCAGCACCCCAGCCTCCCGCATCCCCTCGCGGGATGGTTTAGAAGCCAGCATGGCCCACTTTGGTTACCTCAGCCGT